GCCTTCACTTACATTACTTTGCAAACCAGCACAGGCCCTAGAGAAACCAGAGGTTAAATTGTTTAAGGAGTTCCTGTTTGGACTCCTTCTGGGCTGCACTGTGTCCTAACCAAATTCACATTGGGGTCCTACTCCTAGCACCTCAGGATCTGGAGGCAATCAAGTGAAACTGGGGTCATTAGGGTAGGCTCTAATCCAATATGACCCAAGTCCTTATGAGAAGAGATCAGGACACAAATAGAAGGTAGAAGATGTGAAGCGAAACAGGGAGAAGACAGCCATCCGCACGCCAAGGAGAGGCCGGGAGCAGCTTCTCTGTCGCTCCTCGGGAAGGGACCAACCCTGCTGGCACCTTGATCTCAGACTTTTGCCCTCCAGAATTGAGACATTAAATTTCTGCTGGTTAAGGCCATCAGTCTGTGCTATTTTGTTTTAGCAGCTCTAGCAAACTAATACAGGGCTTTTAAAGCATGTGTCAGTTACAAAGTTTAGAAGCCTGTACATCTTAAGAACCCAAAGTGCTGTTTGCATTCACCACTTTTTTGATAAGACCTAGAAATGTTGCAGTCATAAGTAACGTGCTGTTTCTAGGGCTCATACTTTGGAAGAAGCTTTGAAGATGACTTTGTGTGTGTGTGCGGATGTGCTCACACACATGATTCCCAGCGACACCCTTGGTACAGCCCCCCTTTAAGGCCTAAAGTGAACCTCAGAGAAGCACGCTACAACCAAGGTTGATCTGTAGAGCCCTTTATCTCCTCATCACATTCTGACAAGTGGCCACACCTGCCAAGTTTTCTTTATGCAAAATCCCCAGGAACTTGTGCTGTCTGTCAGGCAAATGCAACCATCCCGGCCCGGCTGACCAATTTTTAGTTCAAACGCTAAGATCTGAGGCTGTTTCAGTGTTGTTCTCAGTCTTCTGCTGACAGCTGGCTGAACATCTGTGTTCTGGGGACACAAAGGCTTATGGTGCAGGTCACAGGACAGAGGACTGCCTGGTAAGTGCAAGGTGCTTGGGTGGGTGGGCTCGGCTGCCATTCCTGACAGCTTTTGCTCGGGTGGGTTGATTTGCACAGCCTTGCCTCTCATTGCCGGTCTTAGAACATGAGGTTGTATCAATGTCACTTGACTGTGTGGAGTGGCAGTTTCCTCACCTGTACAGTGACCATTAAAACAGTAGAACCAAGTGATAGCCTAGTTCTTAGCTGGCCCAGAACATGCCCTAGAGAGAGCACGCAGATGTTGGCCGCTGCCGCTATGATCGTCACGGTGGGCCCAGTCCTGCGGCTGGCTCTGAGGGGATAGAGGAGTGCCATCTGGTCCCTTGCCCCTGGCCATGCCTAGGGGGACACTTGGGAGATGAGCAGGTATGGAAACAGAACCCTGAGTTAGTGGTTCCTCAAGCAGATTTTGGGGACCCTTCTGCTCATACAACTGCAAGAAGAGGGTCTCTTCCCAGTCCTCCAGTTATCCCAGACTCTACCCTGGACAACAAGCCTGTAAGCTCTGAGCACTTCGGGCAGGACCCTCCCGTGTCAGGGTCACAAACTCTGTCCACAGTGGTTGCTACCCAAGGCTGCCTGCTAGGTGTACGCACTACGCTGACAGTGCACGGGATGTAACTTTCAAGACCAACTTCTAACATTCCAACCTCAGAAGTCCCGCACGGGAGCTGTGTGCTGTCTCCTTTGGGTTCAGTAAATGACAAAGGGCGTAAGTAACGATTTAAACTTTGAACTCAGTCACCAGCTCATTTAAAAAGTACAGGGATTTTCTTCCAATTGTCGAGAAGCAAAAGAGTCCTCTAAAATATTTCTGTTAGTCAAAGGAAGCTTTGTCCTGGATTGTAGGCAAATAAACCAGCATGTCACTGTCTCCACATAGAATATAGTGAACAAGACATTCTCACTGATTTGTTGGAAGCAGCCACGGTCCGCGAAGCAGCACCTGAGATTTTGATGACATGGGCCGAAGAGTCAGGGAAAGGCCTGGAGAAAGGACTGAACTGATCCTACATGAGAAACACCAACTTTCATTTTGTCCATAAAACGATTAAGCTGGTCTGTTCACAGTATTGCTAACGGACCCCTTAATATTAGTTTTCAATTTCTCTAAAGGTATAGAAACAAAATTAACTTGGTGTGTCCTCAGTTCAGAAAGTTAAGCTGAGCAATTATGAAAGAAAGAAAAAAAGGGAGCCTTTTCTGACTTTGTCACTTAAGAAAAACGAATCCTAAAAAGAAATGACAACAGATGGAGGAATGTACTAGAACGAATGGTTCATTCTTTCAGAGTCATTCCTCGTTGGATGGCAGTCCTGTGTCTCTTGGAACACACAGTCAGGTGTTCTGGGTGCCTCCCCGAAGCCTCGTCCCTTTCACTGTGGAAATCACTTGGTAACTTCAGTGCTGCAGTGAGCGTCTGTGGGTAGGGTGTTCGTCACGGTGCGAAAGGCGCAGTGCTGCTCAGATTCCTGAACCGCCCTTGGGCACAGAATCCTGCGTGGTTGGCTTCATTTCCTACTCTTACATTGCATTTCCAATAGTTCAAGCACACCCTGCATTCCTCTCTTTTGGATGTTAAACGCAAAGAAATTGAATTGGCATTTAAATAACTTGATGAGTTCTCACCTTCATTTCAGATACTTTATGCACCAGAATTTAGGACAGGTGATATAACAACATGCTAGGTGGAGGACCCTGAGTTCAATTAGGTAAGGTTTGGGAATGAATAAGTGAAATTTTACTGATAATTACTTTCATCACTGAGGTCTCTAAGTTGCAAGCTGTATGCAAGACTCTCAATTTAATTACAACAAAAAGGCATACAGATACAAGGGTGTGCCTATTTTAACAGAAGTACATGGGCACTATCAGAACAATTAATTATTCATAACATTAATGTAAACATGGAAAGCACTCAATGTACTAAGACATAGCCTTTAAAAAAGAACTTTCTTCGTTCTCATTTGAGATCTTTATTTTCCTGAATATTTAGAAATGGAGGCTGCAGTCTGGGTGACCTCTAGGATCGTGTCCAAGTCTAAAATGCTGTGATCCTGTGATCCTATATAAAATAAATGACATTTTTTCTCCCCTGATCCCACAAGTCATCTTCACCATGAAGAATGAAAAAAGGTAAGAGACATCTCCAGAGACTTCTGATTAGCAATGACTGCAGAACCAAATAACAAGCTCATTTCTGTGAAATATCCATCCATATCCTTTGTATACACTGTTTGAAAAATACACTGAGACTCCCCTTTCATCCCTGTGTCTTGTATCAGCTCACAGGCACCTTACATTAAAGCCAGCATTGAACTACAGAGATGCAGATTCCTCTCACGTTAAAGAGTTAAACCTCACTCAGTTAGAGGTGTTTTTCCAGACTGGTCACATCCATCCTCTTCCTAACTCAAGAACTAAGTGGAACCTAAACCCCAGAAAAGATACTCTAGCAGTATAGTTACTTGGTAACACCAGACCTCAGTCAAGAATTAAGTGCCCCCCACTGGAGGTAGAATGCTATTTGCTTGGTATCCCAGGGGCTCCAGCTCTAGTGAACTGGCAGAACAAGCCTTATTTGATGAGCGTGAAAGATCTTGCAGTGAAAAGGACAATGGCAGGTGACAGGGGACTGATGGCTTCTGATATGCTGGCTGTAGAAAGACCAAATCGAGGCCGTTCAGTCTTTTAAACAAAACAATTATTCTTTGTAAATCTGAAAGATGCCCATATAAAAATATGATTTCATTAAGTAATGTTTAATATTGACTTGGGAAAATATCCGCCAACTTGGACACAATCGAGAGCACATAACGTGGGAAGAGAAAACCTTCATGCACCTGTCTGCAGCCAGGTGGGAACATATTTCAGGAGATTTCATTCATTCTCTGCTCTCAAGTCCTATGTGGTTTCTTTTCAGTAGAGCTGCCATCTGGTGCAGTAGGCGAGGAGACTCAAGTGTCAAACTTGCCCCTTATTTCACTATTTAGAAAAAAATCTTTAGCTCTGATAAAGTATTGAACCACTGGGCACCAGGAGACCAAAGGAAGAAACAGGTCTGAAAGAGACCAAGGCCTTGAATGTCTGTCTGTCTATCTACCCCAGAGGTGAGGGTCCTGGAAGGCGCAGGTGCCGGGCATTTCCCTGACCGAGTCCGGCCTTGTCACTAAGGAGGCATTCACGCCACGCCTCTGCCTTGCCAGTGAAATTTCTCAAGAGTGAAATTTTTACCTTTACCCTAGCTGCTGCTCAGGAAAAGCATGCAGGGTTGGGGAGCAGATTCACCAGCTCGGGCAGCCTCTGCAGAGCACCCCACCGGCCAAGCACCCACCTGGGAAGTTGGGGAGGAAAGCTATGTGTGTTTGTGTATGCATGGCAGTAACTAGGTTGGACATTTGGTGCTAAACTAGGTTGGAGTTACACTTAAAGTTCCACCTTTACAGACGTTATGGGGAAAGGAGATAAAAGAAGCAGGTGGCAGGGGTGAGGGAGGGAATGGGTGAGGGAAGGAAGAGGAGAATGGAGGAGACCGGGGATGGAGGAGGAGGAAAGACAGAGGGAGGGAGAGATGAGGGAGGTGGAGGGCAGGAAAGAGAGGAGTGGATGGGGGAATGGAGAAGAGGATAAAGGGCAGACGGGAGAAGGGTAGGGCTGAGGGACGCCAGGGGAGGGGGTAAGTGGGAAGAGAGGCAGAGGAGAAAATGGAGAAAATGGAGAAGAGGGTAGGACCGGGGAAAGCGTGAGAATTATGGAGAGACAAGGGTCGAGTGAATAAACCAGAGGAGACAGGCTGGGGGACAGGGAGAGACGAGGTGGAAAAGTAGGGAATGAAGAAAACGCTTTGGGAAAAGAAGCGGAGGCTCCGGGACGTCTCCGGAGTCTGCGGGTTGGAGCCCCGAGCACAGGAGCAGCCCGAACTCAGAACAAGATGGCCAGCCCGGCCAGCCCAGCGGGTAGGATCGCTGGCGCTCGCCACTGCCCCTTCCCACTTACCTGGCCCTTAACCAGGCTGGCAGCAAACTGGCGCATCACGGCCTCCACCGTGTAGGCGCTGGACCAGCCGCGGGGCGTGAGCAGCTCCATGCAGATGGCACCGCCGTCCAGCACGTAGCCGTTCTCCAGGCGCGGGCTGAGCACCCGCATGAAGGGCGGCGAGAAGGGAAAGTTGTCGGGGAAGGTGAGGTTGAGCAGGATGAACTCGGTGTTGGTCTCCTTCATGTCCTGCCACAGCACCGAGTCCTTGTCCACCTGGTGCAGCTTCACGTTCCAGTCGAAGAGGCTCTCGTCCACCAGCTCCACGGAGATGAAGCGGTCGCTGAGGCGCGCGATGTCCTGCAGCTCCTTCATGAGCCGCCGGCTACGCACCTGCGTGCAGTGCTGCTGGCGCGCGGCGGGCACCAGGCTGCCGCCCGCCGCCGCCGCCGCCGCCCCAGCAGGGCCGGGCCCCGCCCTGGCGCCCGCCGCCTGATCCCGGGGGCCCCCGGTGCCTGCCGCGCCGGCCGCCCCCGCTGCGGGCTGCGGCGGCTTGTCGCGCGGGGCCAGCTCCGGCGCGCGCTTGCCCTTGCCTTTGCCCGGGCCGGGGCTGGAGTCGCCCGCGCCCCCGGGGGGGTGCTGCTGCTGCTTGTGGCCGCTGCTCTTGGTGCCGCTCTTGCCGCGCAGCGACGCGCTCTGTTGGCCGCCGCCGCCGCGATGGTTGTGGTGGTGCTTGGGGTCTTCGGTGTCCCGGTTGTGCAGGCGGATGAGCCCGATTTTGCGGAGCAGCGTGGCCATTTTAGGCTCGGCGCCGGCTTGGGGGTTCCCTCGGCTCCTGCCCCGGGAGCTCGACAGCCGAGGCACGGGGCGGCGGGGACCGGCCGACTACTCAGCGGGACGTGGCGCGGGTCACCCCGGGTGCCAGCGGTCGTGGCGCAGAGGAGCGGGCAGCAAGTGCGCTCCGCAGCCGCGGTATCGCTGCTGTCATATGACGGGCCCCGCTTTGGCTCGGGCTCCGGCCGCCCGGGGAGCGGAGGCGAGGAGGGTTGGCTGCGTGGCTGGCTGTCCCCGGGCTGTTTCCTGGGCGCAGTCCCCGGAGCCCGATGTCTGCGGTCCTTTGTGCGTGGCCGCAGCCGGGCTGGCCTGACGTCCGAACGCTGCGCGGGTGCGCGCAGAGTCGCCCACGGAGCCCCTAGGGCAGCAAGGTGGCCGCTGCCTGGCGCGGTGCGCGCCCGCCGGGCCGTGCGGCGTTGGCCGCTACCGCGGGGCCCCGGCCGCTGCCGCTCGCGTCGCTGCCGCCGCTGCGGCTGCTGACATTGCAGAGGCGGCTGCTCCGTCTGAGCCAAGCTTGCTGCGGAGGGGGCGGCTCTGCCGGCGGGGAGGGGAGGCGCGGGGCGGAGCCGCGGGCTCGCCAGAGCCGTGCAGCCCCGCCGCCCTCCCGCTGCCCGTCTCCCGCGGCGACACGCGCTCGGCCGCTGGGGGGAGACAGCGGCGCGCAGGGCTGGCGGCGTGCGGGCTGTGGGGTCTCAGCACGCGAGGCTGAACAGGTCCGAGAAGCGGGGACAAGGGTGGGGACTAGCTGAGGAAGGGGTTTGTGAGAGCGGTAGTGGGGTTGTCGCAGGCTCCGGTTCGTCCCCCCGGTATCCGCGCTCGCGGCGACTTCCCACCCCTCGCCCAGGCCGGAGCCTCCTACCTCACCTAACCTGGATAAGACAACCCGAAAGGGAGAGGTTCGGGGAAGCCCGGAAAGCAGCCCGATGACCAATTCCCTGGGACCAGATGGACCCGGCGTCCTGGACAGCCGTCCTGATTGGACAGGGGCCGGGACTAGGGCGACGCTTTCTTAAAGACTGATCGAAGAATCCTGGCCGGGGGAGGAGGATGTGGAATCGCGCCCGCCGCAATCCTCCCGAAGCCCCTGAAGTTAACCTTAAAGGGTTAATGTTATGCTAATTAACCCCTCTGCCCGGGTGGGCTCCTCTGTGGTCCAGCAGGCAGGAAGGTTCCTGCATTCTGAAAAGGGGTCCCGGGAGGAGGCGACCGCCGAGCACTGGCTTCTGATTCCTTTCCCAAAGGCTACGCGAAAACGCGTCCCACGCTGCTGCCCGCGGGCGCTCAGGGCGCGAGGCAGGCCGCTTTGAGACCCTGGAGTCTTCTGTGCCCCTGGCTGACCCCAGGACTGCCCGCGGAAGAGGAGAACCTCCTTCAGCCTGAAGGCTTCCCTTCTTCCTCTCCCTTTCTGTCTTTAACTCTTGAAACATATTTTTATCCGTGAAAATTTCAAGTAAAATGCATGTTCAGAGAGCGTCAGAGGCTGAAACAACCTGGGAACTGGCGAAGCTTCAGGGCTTGCAGGACGCGCGCTGCCTTGCAGGGTCTAGGGTGTTCGGTCCAGCTCTGCAATGGGGAGAGGCAGAGGTAACCTGTGAAATACAGGAAAAATTACCACGCAGACCTGAATGGCTCAGAACTCTAAACTTCGCCGCTGTGCCTGGTTGGATTTCAACTTGGGAAGCCTCTAAGTTCATCAGAATGAATGTGTTCATTTTGTTGCCACCATGATTTTTTTAAAACCGCCTTTATCATTTTCACCTTTTCCAACATATTTAAGAGTTTCGCTGTGAAAAATAACTCTCAGGCCACTGTACCGGCCCGGGGTTCGGTTTTCTGGGGTTATCTGCTGGGAGAGCTAGGTGTCGGCATAATCCTCAGGAGCTGTGGCAGGCGCCCAGGGGCACCTGCACCCTGGAGTGCTGTTCCCTGGAGAGGGGTCTGTACCAAAGTTGCATTTTTATAGAGGCTGTTTTCAGGTGGGTGGAACTGGGCAGTGCAGTGTCCCGGGTGAGACCAGTGGCTGGTGTTGGAATCCCAGCTCCAACCCCCCTGAAGGTCTATTTGTCTGGGTCTATGGGCTTTTTCCACGACTTTGTTCTATCTAGTTCTACTTTAAAAGGATAGGTTGAGAAGGAAGATGAAAATGCCTGTCTCTTAAGTACCGTGAGTTTACTTAACCCAGGAGAAGAAGGGAATTGGACGGTCCCCTTTTATTAGTGAAGAAACTGAGTTTCGAAGAGGCTCAGCAGCTGCCCCGGCTCAGCCATGTACTTGGATTTACACGCTGGTCCCTGTGCCTCTGGACACTGTGCTGCAGGTTGACCAGCTGCCTCAGCACTGCATGAGCAGGTCCGTGACCTGGTAGGGCTATCAGCCCTGGCCCCCGAGGTGCGGGTGAGAAAGCCTCCACAGGTGTGACAGTCAATGTCACAGAGCCAGCAGATCGGGGGCGAGGCTGAGGGGTGTCATCCGGTTGGTTTGAGAATGGTTTAACTAAAACCCTGAGGAGCTGTTTATAAGGCCTTTGTTTTTGAATGGAACTATTGGCAGGGTGATCACATAATTCATCGTCTGAATGCAGATTTCTCTTTGAGGAAACAAGAATCACAATTAATACAGATGTTGGGACAAGAGGCCAAAGCAGCACTGGCCAACACATGAGATGGCTCTTATCTTAATTTTCATCTGTCACACCTAATCTCCAATCAACTCTTTAAAGGACTAAAGCCATATATTGTTTAAAAATCAGAAACAACCATAAGTTACAATCAGAGAGAAAGTGTTCAGTAAATTATACCTAGTCCACTTGGGGATGTATTATGCAGCAATAATTTTATAGTTATAACAATTATATAGCAAATGAAAATATTTACCACCTACATAATAATTTTGGGTGAGAAGGCAGAGTGCAAAATTATATCCACACTGTGGCTGCAACTACGTAAAACTATGTGTAGGGAAAAGACTAGAAGGAAAAACGTTTCAATGGTAACAGTCACACTGTCCGCGTATTCCCGTTAGTCCTCCAGTGCAGCGGTGTTCACGCGGTGCGCCACGGCAGCCTGGTGCGCTGCAAGAAGTTCCAGAAAGTGCAACACCTGACTGTTTAGTTAGGGGCACTGACCTCTTTCCCCTGGATTGTCAAATGAAAAATGACAATCTAACACAACAATACAGCAATAAGTCAACACAACAATAGCCATCTGGTGTGAAGGAATCAACATTATACCTAATTTTTTGTCAGATGGGCAAAAGTATATTTTTGGTGAGCCACAGAATTTCGGCAATCAGTTTATGTGTGGCATGAGGTGAAAGCCACCGCTCTAGTCCCGGGGTCCAGACCTTTGCTTCCATGACGTAATGGTAGAGCAGGGTGGGGGGAAGAGCCCGTGTGGTTTGTAAATCCACTTCCTTCTCCAATCCCAGAAGATTCTAGAAAGTTTCAGTTCACTAGCACAACAAAGCATAGAAGTTGTATTTTTTTGCTCTAGTTATTCTATTTGATCTTCAAGGACCCTGAAAAGGAATATATTACAATTATGATGAAATTTTTTAGCAAACTTTAAAAATGAGCTTATTGAAGATTACATTTACAACATTAGGACAGACGAATTGAGAACACTTAGTTAAATAACAATCCCTGAGGACGACAGTGGGTCTGTGGCTCCTCCTCTGTTCACAAGTAATGATGAGGTGGGGAGAAGGATGGTTACTGAACGTCTGCGGGGGACCTTGGGCCCATCTGCTAAGAAAGGTAGAAAGGGAGGGAGGAGGGGACTCTGGTTATCACGGTTGCTGATTTTCTGGGGAATTGCACTGTGACTGCCAATGACTCTCCCAAGAGCATTTGAGTCAGGGGCCAGCTGCCTCCAGGGGCTGTTTTTGTAAAAAGATGCAGGTCTGCCATTCACTCATTTATTCTCTGCCTCAAAGGACAATTTCCCCAATTGGCCCTGTTTCCTTGTGAGCCCCAATCTCATAGAGTCACCAAGGCATCAACCAGACCACCTCAGAAGACCTGCCCTCAACTCATGTACATGGTTTATTCTTCTGAATGAAGGTGTAAAGATCACAGTGAAAATGAAAAACAAAACAAAACATTTTCTGCCAAAAGAATTCACTGCAGAGTAGTACAGTGTGGCTCTCTGATGTTATCAGGTCACATAACCTATTATGCCGTTCATGTATTGATCATCAAAGCTAGCCCTTAGAAGACACTTGCTGTAGTTCAAATGCCTCCCCGTGCAATCTTTGTAACAACTCTTATTGGGTAGGTGCCACGTTTATCTCCTCTTTAGGTATGAGTAAACCAAGGCATCGGGGTCAGCAGAGCCTGGTTTCCAAACTAGACATCTTTGGTTCCAGATGGTGCTGTTACCATTGCTCTGTGAGCACTTACTGCATACAGTCACTATGGAGACAGCAGGGGAGGAAGTCCCATCTTCCTGGAGGGGAGGTCCTCAGGAGGACATCCTTAGCACCCTCGAAGCCCTCCATAGAAAGATGCTCCAGCAGTCACTAAAGGAAAGAGCTTGAGGACACAAAGAAACATCCCATACTCACCTCTGCATTTGCTCAAGCCACACAATGCACAACACAGGTTTTTTGCTGTTTAATTGGAAAATCAATCTTTCACTTTACAACGCAGACATCTGAATTCACTACTGTTAGGATCTTGCCCAAACTCACCCAAGAGCGGGTGGGAGAGGGAGCCCAGTACTGATGATGCCTTGTCTTAGGCTCTCTTATCCTCATGGGGCCACATGGCACAGGTGAAGAGCAGGAGAAAAGGAGGAGAGGGAGGAGAGGAAGGTGGGTAAAGACAAAGGAAGAAGGTAGAGCACGAGGCAAGCACTGCCAGTCTGAAATAGCCGGTGAAGGACTTCCCTCTTGTTTTGTCCACCAGCACTTCAGCATACCCTTTCTATGTTTGGAGACTTTTCCTCCTGTGGCAGATTGGATTTCCCAAAGCCGGCATATGTTGATCCCATCCCACATATTCTTTTTACTACTGACTCCCTCTTCTCACAGAAAGATGGGTGCTGTGTTCCCTCTGACTGAGTCTGAGCAGGTGGAGTTGTGAGTGCTCTGGTCAACTGAGTAGGAGCATGCAGTGAAGTCATGTCCCTTCTGAGTCTGGGCCATAAAGAAAAGCAGGCTCTGAATGCTTTCTCTCAGGGTAATTTAGCCACCATATTGTGTGGAAGCCCAAGCTGCTAAAAGAGGCCAGGTGGACACAGTCCAGCCTTCAGCCCAGCTGAGGTCTTTGCAGACAGCCAGCAGCACCCACGGGACATATGCATGATCTTGTCTTCAGAGGATTCTGGCCTTAGCCTTTGAGACTTCCAGCTGAGACCCCAGACATTGGGGAGCAAAAATAGGCCATCTGGACTATGCCCTGACTGAGTTCTCCATCCAAAGAAACTTTGGAGGTAGGAAAGAAGATTATTCACTTAGGCCATCACATTTTGGGACCATGTGTTATGCAA